CTAGAGCTTAACGTAGTTAGACTATTATAAAGTAAAAACACTAATATTAAAATAAGTAATAAACTTACTTATAGACTTACTAAACTTTATATATAACTAAAAGCTCTTATACTATTACTAGATAGTAACTACTATATTAAGAAAGTAATAAACTATATTAAAAATAGTCTAAACTTTACTACTATAAGTAAAGCTAGCTTTATTATTAAAGAAGCTATTCTAGATATTACTAAATACTTTATTCTTAGTCTTCTAATAAAGGTAGCTTAGCTTCTTAGCTTTAGAAGTAAAGTTATATAAGTACTTCTTAAACTAGTTATAGATATCTATCTTCTACTTAGTATAGTTAAACTTTATAGTATTAACTTCTAAAAAGATATTAGGCTTAGATTTCTTAGAGTAGTAATAATAAGGTTCTTAATTAAGAGTAATAGTATTAGCTACTAGTTTCTAGTTACTAAGACTAGAAGAACTACTAGTAGAGCTACCTACTAGGCTGCTATAAGATTTATTATTACTAACATTATTATTAAAGTTAGAATAGTCTAGAGAAGTTAGACCTATATAGGTCTAGTCTATCTTATTCTTTCTTATAGCTTTAGTTTTATAGAGCTAGATCTTAAAGTCTTAAACTAGCGCGTTAGTAGTAGTAAGAGCTTTATTAGTAATAGTAACTATATTAAATTTCTTATAGTACTTAGTCTTATAAGTCTTCTTACTAAGTACTATTATCTTAAGCTTAAGGTAGATACTTTAAAAGTTTTAGTTATTATAGTAAAGAGCGCTATATAGATTCTATAACTATTCTTTTAGTTATATAACTTTAAGATTAGTAGCTTTCTATTATTATTAAAAAGTATTAGCACTAGTAAGCGCGTTCTCTAAGTTACTTTTATATATTTTAGTGTTATTCTAGAATTTATAAAAGTAATCTTATAGAGACTTTATAAGCTTAGCGTACTCTAGATAGTACTTACTAAGAAAGTTAGCGTAAAGATACTTATTATTAATATTATAAGTTATAAAGCGTAGCTACTCTATAATATTACTAATAAAAATAATATACTTATTAGTATTAGTAGCGCTAATATTCTCTAAGTTAGTAAGCTTTACTAAACTCTTTTTAAGTATAGTATAACTATTAATATTAGTCTTCTAGACTTTAAAGATAGTAAAGTTATTATTATAGAGAAGAATAAAGAACTTAGAAAGTTATTACTTATAGTACGTACGCTAGAGTAACCTAGGCTTAGTAATAGAGAAAGTATTATAGAAGGTAGAGTAACGTAGACTAGTCTAGACGCCTTCTAGTTTAGAGTTTTTATTAATATAAGGTTATTAAAAAAAATAATAGTTAGCGCTTATAGATAGATAATAGACGTTAAGAGTATCTTTATAGACGTTGTTATAGGTGTTATTATAGATATTACTATAAGTATTATTACTAAAGATAACTAACTTCTTCTTATAGTAAGTAATTATAGTAGTAGACTTACTATTATTCTTAGAGTTAGAAAGCTTAAGCTTACGCTCTTAGATATACTATAAACTATTAGTGTTACTAATATTATTACTATATAAGATATACTAGCTAGATATATAGTAGTAAGATTCTTAGAGTAAGTTATTAGTGTCTAGTAACTAAAGAAGAACGCTTAGGTAATAAGTAGGTATAGAGAACGTAGTAATAAACGCAAAGAGTAACTATAACTATAATAACTATATTATAGAAGTAGTTATATAAGAGTATCTAATAGTATAGAAAAACTATCTAGAATTCTAGATCTAGGTATTACTACTAATACTACTACTACTACTAATAGGCGCGCGCGCGTAGTTAAGAGTAGTAGTAGTATTTTATTAATAATAAGGTATTAGAGCTAGAGTATATAGATTAGTTACTATTATAGAAACTAAAGTCTTTAGAGTATTATAGCGCTACGCGTAGTTATAATTAGTATTCTTTTATATAATAGAGAAGTTACTAAAAGTAGAGAAGCTAGAGAGTAAAGTATTAGAATACCTTAACTAGTTTATAATAATTACTAGTGCTACTCTCTTAAGTTACGCTAGTAGATAGTATTTAAATATTAACTATAATAACGTATAAGAGTCTTATAAAGATTAGATAATTAAGATATATAAAAGTAATAAAGTTATTATAGTAGAGAGCTTTAAAAGAAGCTATTAGAAGTAAATATATATAGTAGAGGTATTAGCCTAACGTAGGCTAATAGAGCTCTAGGTCTAAAACTATTATAACTAGATATATATAATAGAACTAAATTTAGTAGCTAAATACTTAAGAAGATTAATAAAAAAAGTTATAATTTTATTCTTAGTCTTAAATAGCGTAGTCTAGGTAAAGTAAGTACTTTTATTAATAAGTATAAGAGTATAGCGTTCTTTTTAGAAACTAAGAATAGAATATAGACTCTAGATATCTAGAGTAATAAGTTTACTAAACTTTTTAAAGCTTTAATATATAAAGCTTTTAAAGATCTTATAAAGAGTGTAAGTTATTATATATATAAAGTAAACGTCTTTAAGTTTTACTTAGATTTACTTCTTTATAATATTAATACTATTACTAATTAAAATAAGCTTTATTATATTATTAAAGCTAAAGTAGCTAAGTTAATAGTACTTAGACTATATAAGATTATTAAAATTAACTATAGCTACTATAAGAAGTAGTGTAGAAGAGTATTATAGTTAGAAAACGTGTATATTAGCGTTAGAGTATAAATAGGCGTAGAGTACTTATTTCTTAGTAGCCTTATAGTAAATATATATATATAAACTATTAGTAAGAACTTAGTAGCTATATATTAATAAGGTTATTATAAAAAGTAGATTATATCTTATATTAGAGATAAGACAAACGTTAGTAAGAGTTAGTATAGCTATAACACTATCTATATTAGTAATAATAATATTAATAGTTTCTTTACTATAGATTTATAGAATAGAGTTCTTTTAGTAGCTACTAATAGTTTTCTTATATAGTTTAAAGTAAGTAAAAAGTAATATATTATAAGTAATATAGTAGATAGCACTAAAGTTATAGATCTAAATATTAGAGGCTATAGATATATTAATAGCTATAAAACTAGCTAGTATAATTAAGCTATTAAGAGTAAATAATATCTATATACTTATATTCTAGCTTAAGGCCTACTCTTTTCTATATTCTTTACTATAGTAATAGCTCTATAATACGTTAGTAGTAAAATTAGAAAAAGAGAAGAAAAGCGTATAGTTAAGATTAAGGTTGTTAATAGAGCTAATAAAATAGTTTATACTAAAGTTATTATTAATAGTAAGTTTAGTGTTCTTAATATTAGTAGTAGGCGTAGACTTCTTAGAGGCTTTTACTTTTATAAAGTAATCTATCTTAATATAGCTAAGCTTACTATAGTTCTTATAGATATACTTAGGTATATTAGACTTACTAATATACTTATAGATATTAATAGAGTATCTATTATCTTTATAGTACGTATAGATAATATAAAAGGTAGTACTATTAGCTTTAGTAGTATTATAACCTCTACTAGAGCCTTTTCTAAAGGTATTCTTATTAGATTTATTCTTATTAGGCTTATTTTTATTAGCTTTATTATAGACTACTTTATTCTTACGTAGAGATAGAATAGACTTCTAAATATAAAGCGTCTTCTCTAGATCTATAATAGTAGTAAGAGTACTAGTACTAGCGTTAAAGTAAACTTATTTAATAAGGTAATTATAGCTAGATATAAGTCTACTAAGAATAGTGTTCTTATAAGTAGGTATAGAGAGAGCTTTATTATACTCTATAAAGTCTTACTTAATATAAGTAATAGTAGAGAGATACTCTTATATATTATTATAGTTTATAAGCTTAACTATTATAAGCTACGCGTATAAGATAGACTAAGCTATAGACTCTATAACTATAAATATATTAGATAGATAGATCTAGTAGTTCTAAGAGTTCTTGTCTATAATCTAAGCTTTAATATAGTTATTAACTAATTTAAGAAATATCTATTTAGTATTATATTTATAGTTCTACTAGTAGGTATACTTCTTAGACTTAAATTTATAGATCTTAATATTATTATAATATACTTTCTTTATATTACGCGTAAGCGCGCTAATAGAGTAGAAAGAATAGTTAGGCTTAGAAATAAGAGTCTTAATAGTCTTCTAGTCTATACCTACGCTAGTGTAACACTAGAGAGGTATAGTACCTTTAATATTACTATAAATCTTAACAGCGCGTTTCTAAGTAGTAATATTATTAGTGCTAGTAAGAATAGTGCTCTTATAGAGCTAATAGAAGCGTATTAGTAATACTTAGATAAAGTAAGATAGATAGGTAGTTATAAGGTGTACCTAAGTAGGCGCGTACACTTAGTTCTTATACACTAGAGAGTATAATACTAAGTAGTGCTTAGAAGTAGAGTAGAACTTATAATCTATTAATTAGAAGTAATATATATATTTAGATAATTTAACTATTATAGAGGTATAAGTATTTATATATACGCTAGAAGAGAGAGAGTAAGTAAATAAATTACATAATAGGAGTTGTAGCCTAACTAACATAAAGGCCGCGTGTGCTACATAGCTAGCCCTCAAGTCCGGCTTCGCGACTTAACGTTACATGCTATTCTACAACGATATCACGCATGCATAGCTAGGACGACTTAGGGCCTGATCATGTTCACTCGAAAAGAGACCGAGGGTCTAGGGGCTATAACCCCGATGTCCTTATCGCATGCTGTTCATCGCGAGAACTACAAGGCGGTAAATGTGCAGACATGTCGTAGAGCGTTCGTTTCTGAAAATGCGGTTTCGACTATCTCGGTACCATCAGTTCCCGAGAGATTGGAGCAGCGGATTGAGCGGACGGTGTTCGCTGTGAAGACAGTATACGAGTAGTCATTACTATCATTTCCTTCTATCTTCTCTACATTCTAAAGGACGATCAGGATTATCGAGACACCAGTCTAAAACACATTCCTCGTACTAGTGACCTCGAAATCCGTAGTCACCATCACATTGTCTTTCCCATCTTGTAAGCGTGACCCATCAGTGGTTCCAGTTGGTGTAGGGCTGGCTTTCCGGTCCAGAAAAGTCAACTCCATTTCATCATCCATAGTGCCGCCCTGAATATTCGAGCTGTGCCCGTTGAAGTTGATACCTTTGCTACCAATGGTTTTGCCGGAGCCAGCTTGCAGATAGCCGGAGTTGCTGCGGTTGGATGAGGTAGCGGGTGTGGGTTTGATGATGAGTGCCTTTAAGGACGGGAGCGAGACGACGATGACGGCTGTGCACATTTCGGCCGTGCACCAAAGGTCTGGGGACTGTTAGTGGAGGCTTGGGGAGGTGACATGGGAAGGGTGACATACTGCCATCGGCGTCGGCGATGTCGTAGTCCATGTTGTAGACGATGAAACGGGCGAGACTGATTGCCATGGTGATGGCGCCTAGAGAAAAGATTCCGACCAGGCCGACCTTTTGTCTTCTACGCAGCTTCAAGCAGTTGAAGATGAAGAATGGCAGGCCGAATACTGGGAACAGCGTCAGCTCATAATTTGAAAGGTGAATTTGGGCTACTTACACAGCAGATCGGTGCCAAAGTTGAGTGTCCAGTTGACTACCAGATTGGAGTAGGTATTCCATGTTGAGTTGAGCTGGTTCTCGATAGACCTTTTGGAAAGTGGATGTTAGCCAAGGAACAACTTGGTCGAAGTAAGGGTAGAGGTTGTACCAGTTGTCTGAGATATTTGGCGCGAGAAGAGTATCGCACAGTATGCTCGCCACAAAGCAGGCGATCACGATCGCAGTAGTGGCATAGACTGCGTAACGAAGACGTCTGAAGCCTTGCGGGATCAACCACCAGTAGAAAGCCACCAGCGAAACTTTGGGGAAGTACAATCCCGTATCGAAGAAGTAGATAGACACGAATACGACCTAGCAGCAAACACCTGTCAGCTCACTCGTCTCGTTGCGTATCTCGAAGGTCATGTTTTTGACGTACTTTCAGGTATTCGACGGAGTCGCTCCTTGTCTCCTCGTCCAGAGGATGATCAATCAAGATGTAAAGCGCTCTTGTAGAGCAGGCAAACCATCCAAGCGCGCAGATGAATCCTCCCCATACGAGGTAGTCGGGGAGAGTGAGTGAGCGGTGCTCCATACAAAGACGGACCCAACATCTTAGGATCGTAACACCCAGTGCCAACACGAGGAGTATCCCCTGGATAACCTGTGGATGTGAGTGAGACTTCAAATCATTCGGGCTCGCGTAGTTCTTACTATAGAAGTGACTATCTCCATCGCGACAGCATACACACACAGTATGTGTGGCCGGTGGAGTTTAAGTTCGCCCCAATGGGAACAAACGGAGAGAAGTGGTGAGTGAGGTCAAGTGCGAACTCTACTTGGGGTTGTTTGACATCTTGACACCTGCATATAGCGGGCAGCGCGAAGCCTAGGGTCAGGGTAGGTTAAAAGGGAGTGGTATGATCCGGCGTCTTGTGCTACACGTCGGAATCATGAGTCGCATAGTTCCAGGCGGCTGGTAGCGTCTGTCCCGTGCTGATCAGTAGTCGATCAACCGGCTCCGCGGCCACTGCGGGTGAGACGAACCCTTTTTTCCTTTTGCTTAACGGGCATGAGAAGCTTCGGTATTCTGCGAATACGAGCTTCGCACTGACGTGACAACGTTGCCCGAACGTCATGAGGTTATCGCAACGTTTGTACGCGCAAGATAGATAGCAGGTATCAACATGCCTCACTCTTATGGCGCCGCGTCTCGGACGTGAACGGGAACATTCCCCGTCCCGTCCATAATTTATCTTAATCTTGCCGCGAGTTGTACAGTCTCTGTCGTCGGGCAGGCATCATGCATCCACGGAACTGACAAAGGGAGCTGAGCAAACAATGAAACACCAGTACCATACCAACACATCACTAGAAGAAGCCGAAGCAGCTCGAGAACTTCTGAGCCGCGAATCGGGACACTCGAATGCACAGCGAACGTGGTAAGCTAAGTGCGGGCGCCGTCACGAAGTGCTTGAGTCCATCAGTGTCCTTGGTTGAGCTTGTCGCGGAGCTACCGCACGCTATAGAGCTGTCCTGGGATATCCTCGTGGCTTCTGCCCAGCCGGTCCAGTTTTGCGTTGAGACAGCCTCGTGGCGATGGACGACGCACGCTTGACTCGCGGCAGGGTCAGATAGCATTCCAACGACTTGGCGATTTCGCGGGGTTGCCTCCGATCAGCATGCAATCCCTCGGAGTGGTCGCGGTCGACTTTCCCTCGACGTCGTCGGTCCTTCTTCACTCATGAAGCGACTGGGAACCTGCGTGCGCGTCTGACACGCCGTAGGCTAAATGTCTTTAATTTGCGATCGAAGGCGTTCCGTAGCGCCATGGTGGATTCCTTGTTTCTCCAAAAGCCCCGACCCTAGATTCCACAATCATCGCGCACTGATCTACAGATCTCTGTGGAGTGGGCCAACGGACCCGTGGAGATGGCCTGGATCAGAGGTCGAGGGTACAGTACCCTTGGCAAAATCAGCGTCTGGTGTCGCAGCCATGCTCCGACCCTCCAGGGGCTCTGCGCTAGAGGGGAATGACGCGACATCAGCAAACCTTATACAGTAGGGCCAACTGTGCCACTTTGACATCTGGATCATGTCAATAGGCTTACAGATTTCCAGATAAATGAGCTTGGTATGGAGCGCGAGATTCCTCGGCACAAGATATCTCGGCAAAGTCAAGAACATAATGCGCGACTCTTAATCGCGCCATTCTGGTAATTCGCCTTGAGAGGGGAGCGCAAACTGGTGACGCTTGTATATCCTCCTTGGGGACAAGACAAGATCCAGGTATCGTCGCGATGTAAGAGCAGGATGTGGTAGAAAGCGGTCCAACCCAGCCTGCCACGCAATGCAGGCCGTCGCAGCTTCCTAAATTGAGATGACGACGAGCTGATATCATCAAGAGGATTCGAACAGTTCAAAAGTAGCTCTTTTCGACCATGGGAGCCGATAGAAGACATTCGATGCGATACAGAAAAGATGGCGGTGGTTCTGGTGTTCTGGAGATTATGGACGGCATTGGTGATGACGGCACGCACGAAAGACCTGGTCAAAGCTCCTCGCTGAGTAACTGCACCCGTGCACTCGTCCCGATTCATCCCGCCTCAGAGGAAGGGACCATCATAGGGCATCCAGCGTGTACAATATCACTGAGGCTCCCATCGCCGATATATCTTCTCTGCCTCAGAACTGAGCCGCCCTCGAGACGCCCTTGTCGTGGCTGCCTTGCCGCTTCGTTGCTTCCTGCTACTTGGTCCGACCCTCCCGCAATGCAGGTCTCCTTAGCAGCCGCAGCGCAATAGTGTATACGACAATAGTAACGAGGCTCGCGCTCGCCCACGTCCCGTAGGACTGAAAGTATGTGAGATCCCTCTGCTTGTAGCCAGCAATTTGCATCGAAGTCGTTCGCAAAAGCCCGGTGAGAGAGCCGATGACCAGATAGTCCTTCAGACCAACATTGGCAAGATCCATCTCCACTGCGCGCTGATATGGCGGGAAAGAACGCGTTGTTGGAGGATAGGTAAGCAACTAACGACCTAGCAGTGGCTTGGAAGGTTTTGATGACAATATGTTCGCGGCAGTGGCATCTGAACGATCGAGATAAGCGTGGTGGATGTGGGCTTCGGAATTTCGGTTCTCCATGCAGGGCTGAGGCACTCCTAGCTTGGCAACTTGAGAACAAAGAAACACCCACCGATCACTTTTCATATCGGCGCTACGGCATGTTGACAATGCTCCCCACGACAAGAGAGAAGTTCACAAACGACGAGCGGCGGAACAGAGCGTTGACGCGACATCTATGGCAGCCGAATTGAGAGCATCCCGAAGTTCTCCGCCCACGTGCTGCATTCACGAACCTAATTCGCTTATACCGCATGCTCATCTCGCACTCCCAGCCAAAGTCCTCCAGAGGCTGCGATGAACGCCCCTTTGCGGCCATGATCCCAGTGTTGGGCGGCTTTCCGTGCGCCGGCACCACAGCCCGCTTGCGCCTTTGTCAGGGTCTCGGAAGCCAGTCTTCCACCCGGTAGTAGTGAACGCCTGAAATGTCACTTTTAGTGACAAGGCTGGATTAAAGCATGCTGACAAGCAATCAAACATCAATGTCGGGAACACTTTTACCCCGCGCTCTCCTGGCATCCCTCACCACCTGGCAGCGCTTCATCGCAGTCAATACAGCTACATCAATCTCGAACAAAGAGCTTAAGAAACAATGGCGGTGCAGCAAGAAGAGCAGCGATATGCAGACGGCTTTGCTGAGTACGGCAACTTCTATGGCGGACCATCCTTCGAATACCTTGCGCCCCACCCGTCGATATCTCCAACAATAACAGGGAAGGCTAACGAGAATGTCACTTATCCGAACCATACTCACAAGGTGCCGCGAAAGCGGCAAGAGGCAGCAAGTCTTCCGTTGGCATCTTCCATTACTGGTTCTGGGGCCAGTATCGCTATGCAGCCACTCACAGCCGATGGCATATCTCTCCAGTCTCGCAACGTCTTCTCACCACTGCGCGAAGGACCACTACTATCGCATAACCCTCAAATGGAACCCTTTCCTGAGCCCCCAACCGATGGATTCTCCCGACCCCCAGGAAGCGAAGACTCGCAAGCTGTTCGGCCACAATTCCCACAACGCGCGTCGAAGTCTTCTCCACCACAGCCTTTACGATTTCTGAAACATGCATCAACAGTCCCCCCTACTCCTCCGATGTCTTGGGGAAGCAGCGATAGCACTGAAGATGGTCTGTCAGACAGGATGCAATCCATGTATATCGCTTTCGATCATCCTCCGCCCTCCACTTCGACACCACAACCACTGCAGGTCGTCCATGGCATTTCTGAGCGTGTGAGCACTGCCTACATGGCGAATGGTAATCGCAGCTCTAGCATGGGCTCATCCGTATTACCAGATTTACCTGGGGGGCTAGATCAGTCATCACGAAGAAATATCTCTATATCCACCACGCAAAGTATAGAGAGTGAAGCATCCGACATGAGTCCCGGCGATGCTCGAGCTGAGATACTGCGCAGACTGAGCAGGAAGGAGCCGCCATCAGATCGGAAGGGTGCATCTCCTTTCAAGAAGAGCTTCCTACTCAAAAGAGCGGCTACTACGCCAAATCCAGCTAGTAGTCCATCACAAAACGACCTGACCGATATTCTCGAAGAAGCTGCTGCAGAGGGTAGTCTTTCACTGGTTAGGGCAGTCATTAGTATGGGAGCTGATCCTATGTATCGATCAACTAGTAAGTTGAAGAAGGTGAAGCACGAGGCCCTAGCGAAAGCTACCATGAACGGACGAGCCAGAGTGGTCGACTATCTCTTGAGAGAGGGTGCCACTTACGGAGACGCAACAAAAAGAGAAGACTACACTCCGATGGATCGCGCACTGTTGGCGGCTGCCTATAAGGGACACGCAGACCTCATCGACTGTCTTGTACATCATGGCGCAAACCCAATGGCCGAGCAATGGCCAAGGGAGATGTATGACGCGCAACACTACTGGAATGAGATCCAAGTTCGCGTCACGAAGACGAGCTTCCTCGATGGCCTTTCGAAGTGGAAGAATGTCGATCGCGGTATGAGTACCCTTAAACTCGTCATGCAGCATCAAAACTTCGATCCCACGGCCTTTGTTTCCGGCGCATTCGACAACAAGAGCGAAACAAAGAATTCCGGTGTTCCAAATCGCCCGTGGCAGACGACGTACGAGTACTCTGTTCTGTCTTGCTTCATTCGTGCCGGATGGGCAGATGCGGTGGAAGAGATGTTGAGCATGAAAGGCATGCCGAGGGACTACGAGAAAGAAGACGATGTCTTGCTGCATCAGGAGAAGCTTACAAGAGTCGTATCACCAATCAATGCATTGACGAAAGAAACCTGGGAGAAGCGACCGGAAGACGCACTTCGCATACTAAGGCTACTGATCGACAGAGGCTTCAATCTATGTCTCACGCAACGGACGGCTACAGATCTGGGCCCAAGGACAGCGCTCAGCCGTGCGATCTCAGCAGACGCTGCACAGGCGGTCGAACTCATCTTGCAGACCAAAGGCCGTTTGGTACGAGAGGAAATCTCCTTCCGACGAAACAAGAAAGAGACCAAAGCACTACCACTCGCCACTGCCCTCTCACTCGACTCGCTGGAGACAGCGCGTGTGCTTCTCAGAGCAGGCGCACATCCCCGCGACCCAGCTTTCGAAGACATGAATGTACTGCAATTTGCCGCGTGCCAAGACAGTCCGACCAACACTACAATGCTCGAAGAGATGATCGGCCTCGCCCCAGAACTAACATACGACGCGTTGAGCTATGCCATAAAAGGCACCAACAAAAACGCTGTGCACGTCCTTCTGAACGCCATCTCCGCAGCAGCCCTGCGCGAACAAATCGCCGCTCTACCACCCATATACGACATGCTGCTGCACTGCACTCCTCCCACCAAACAGGAAGTTCAAAGCCAGTATCTTGAGCTCATCGACATGGTAGTCCAATGGGATGTTGGATATGCGTTGCAGCGACCCAAGCTCTCCGCGATATTATCGGCGATTCGGAAAGACAACTACATCGGTATGGAGAAGTTGTTGCAGTGTGGCGTGGTGGATGGCCGGAGTCTGGTGCTGAACAGCAAGGCGCAGCCGTGCGGCGAGTTGGGGACATGGACTATGCTCGAGTGCTGCGAGTTGACGGATAGGAGTTCGGAGTGGTTGGGTTTGCTGAGGAGTTATGGGGCGCCGCTGTATCATTGATACTTACTGATATCCTGCGCAAAATGCTTTACAAGTGCGTCAACCTCGGGCTTCCGTCCCCATTTTCCCTTGTACTTGCCACCCTGCTGCTTGATTCTCTCTTTCTTCGTCTCAGCAACCCATTCTCCGCGAAACCTCTGTCTGGGCTTAGCTTCTCCCTCTTGTGCCATCTTCCTCTTCGTGCTTCCTTCTCGGCCGTTGACATGTCCTTGGCTGACTGGATTGGCCGCGACCCATTCCTCGAGCTGGGGTCTGAGCTTGGGGCCCCAGACAGATTCACCAACATCCAAATCATCATACGGGATCGCAGCGGTATCCTCCGGAAACGGAGAAGGCTGGAGCACGAAATTGGCTTGCACTTCGCGCTTCAGCGCGGCCATGTGCGAAACGGTACCGCAAGCGACACCCAGATCGTGCGCAAAGCTCCGAACGTAGAAGCCAGAACACACCGTCAATCTGATCCGGACCGCGGGTGCTGGAGCGGGTTCCTTTTCGCCGCGGAAGGCGAAGTCATGCTGTCCCGCATCATACCATTCGAGTAGGTCACACCTCTTCACTTCCATCTCCCTACTTTCCAACGCTCGAGGTAATTCCTTGCCCTGTCGTACATACTCACAAGCCTTCATGCCGTTGATCTTCAGTGCAGAGTACACGGGTGGGACTTGCTGGATTGTTCCTAGAAAGTTGGGCAGCTGTTCCTCGACAAGCTGACGGGTCACGTGCGAGGCGTCTGCTCTTGTCCTCATAGTTCCAGTACAGTCGTAGCTGTCGGTACTCATACCGAATAGAATGGTGGTGTCGTAGCTTTTGTCACATGATAGGTACTGGGAGAGCGATCTTGTGCCACGCCCGATGCCTACGATGAGCACGCCGGAGGCTAGGGGATCGAGCGTGCCGCCGTGACCTAGGCGGAATACTTGGTCGGAGGATTTGCTGGTACGTTTCGGCTGGTGCTTGAGAAGTGGCGCGAAGGTATCTGAATGACGGAATGCTGCCTGGAGTTTGAGAAGTACGTCTGCTGAAGAGATATTCGCAGGCTTCACCACGGCTATGCAGAATCAGCAATCAGGTGTGGGTGGAAGACGATTGGATTACCCACCGAAAACACCTTCCAGAACCTGCTCACTTTGCTCCGCGACAGCCTTTTCGTTTTCAGCTTCCATCGTGTTGCAGGTCACGTTATATCGCGTCGTGAAGTTCCGGTCCTGTTGCGCTAGAGGGAAGAATTGTCTAGATCGCGGGGCTAGCGCGTTCTGAAGTTCGCCCCACCTCACGCCCTACGCCTTGCATGCCTCGCAATATCTAGCAGTCGGCCAGAGACAGCCCGAGCTTCTTTGCGGTATACTGCATTCGCTTGCTAACCTAGATCTATACGCGATCACTTGGTAAAGGTTGCATCGGTAGCGGCGCCGACTTCGGGCTGACGCCTTCATCGTACCTCCATTTCCAGCCATTGTCGTCATCTCCAAAACAACACTCGCGACTTCTGGAGCCATGGATCATCAACAAGTGAACAACTGGAACTTCCAATCATGGAACGAAGATACGATCGACCCTTCATGGTTCGACAACTTCCTCGCTACAGATGTCGGCCAGGATGCGACTAACGCTGCATCTGATGCTCCTGCCGCATTCAGCATCGACGACGACTTGGCGATCGACCCGAACTTTCACGACTTTACGTTAGATGATACGTTACAACCACTGAGTGGTATGACTTCGCCAAGTTATCCATTCGACGCGTACCAGCCGACTGAGTTTCACGAGCGCCCACAGCCGCAGCGTCATCACACACTCCCTCGCCGTCGAAGCAAGTACTTTAAGCGAAGATCAACGGGCACTGTCAGCCCGATGGTAATACCGAGTGGAAGTCCTCGACACGAAGAGGGTCAGTCACTGGCCATTCAGCGCTGGCGAAACTCGCCGCCTGAAGACGAGGCCGCATCTCTGTCGGCCATCTACCATGCCTTGGAGGACAGACCCATAGGCCACTCACCACGTATCAGTCGGCCCTCCAGCGGCGACGCGTTCCGCAGATATCGCGGCCCTTCCTCTACCACGAGTCTCGATAGCGCTGCAAGCGAATCCTCATTACGCTCCGCAAATTCGAGCCGCTCCGCCACGTCGCAATCGAAGCGTCGCAGTCAAGCCAAGACAAGAAGCAAGGGAAGAGTCAGAGGCAATATGCTGGACCCTGATCGTATATTCAAGTGTACTTTCTGTTGCGACACCTTCAAGCACAAGTACGACTGGAAGCGACACGAGATATCGCTACATCTAAACCTCGAAAGCTGGATGTGCACGCCGCACGGAGCTTCTGTGGTGCTACCTCTTACGGGTAGAGTACACTGTGCCTACTGTAGTGCACTAGATCCGACACCCCAGCATCTGCAGAAACATAATCACGCGGCATGCACCGACGGCAGCAACAGCCCGCGTATTTTCCACCGCAAAGATCATCTCACACAACACCTTCGTCTAGTCCACGGACTCGAAACGCTACCTCTCATCGACGACTGGAAACTTGAGACTCTGCCGGTGACATGTCGCTGTGGTATATGCAATGCCAATCTAAGTAGTTGGGATGAGAGAGCAGACCACCTCGCCGCACATTTCAAAGAGGGCAAAACGATGGCCGACTGGAAAGGCGATCACGATTTCGAACCGGCTGTCGCTGCCCGTGTCATCAATGCGTTTCCACCCTACCTACTGGCCGAACAAGCGAAGACTGTCGTACCCTTTTCTGCCACGAATCCCGGATCCATCGACCATACAAAGCAAATGATATCGCAGATCCAACGGGAAGAATATCAACGGGAAGAAGAGCCAGTCCAAGAGTCTCCGAAAGAGGTTACCCAGACACCGGACCATCAAGCTTTTGAGGACTCTTTGGAGGCTCTGCGAAACCTTTCTACGCAGCACGATTACGACTTTGCGAAGGTTTTGACGCGCCATCTTAGTCGATTTGCGAGACAGCAGATGTTGTCGGGTATCATACCGACGGATGAGATGTTTCAACGCGAGTCGCGGAGGTTGTTATACCAGGATGCGGATGATGCGGTGAGGAAGCGAAACGACCCATTGTATACCAGACAAATGCTAACATGTACGCTAGTGGAACCAAACAGTAGCAGACAACCCGAATTGGTTGCAAGATTTTCGCCGTCGCAGTGGGCTTGAAGGAAGCCCTAGTACATCATGATGCCAATGCCACTTTAGAGCGATACCGAACAATTCTTCTACTTGTTCCCCAGACCCTTCCTGTGCCAATCGCGATCTTGAAATATTGCGATCGCCTTTCATCAAATGGTACCACCTTGCAGAGTCACTTGATCTTTAAGGTAGGACAGATCAACACTGCTCACCTCCCCAGCTTCTTCAAAGAAGCGTAAGGCGCGATTACCAGTCCAAATCGGATTCTCATCGCCTGTACGTCGTTAGCCCTTTTGCTATAGCTGAGATGCTATTCAAGAAAAAGGTCTTACCAATCCAGTGCCCAGCCTTCGGAATCAACTCAGCAACAAAGTCATCGCCAACCTGCAACCATACCTGTTCCAACAGCGACACAGGCCCAAAGCTCGCCTCACCACCCAGCGCCAACAACGGCATCTGCAATCTATGTCCACTGCTAAACACGGAAGTAAAGTACGCCTCGTCGTCCCACGCCGCTGCGAAATATTCCATGCCGCTCCTCAAAAACCCCGGTTTCGCAATCTCATTCGTATACCGCTGCAAGTGGTCTTCACTCACGGCCGCCGTACCAGAATAACTCGCGTGAAAGAAATACCAGCTCAACATCTGTTTTTCGCGGTCTCGGATGAAGAACTCAGCTGCATCAGGCACAGCAAAGAAGGCGAGCTGCCAGTTCTGGTACAAGCTGGGACTCTGAACTGTTAAGGGATATCCATATCCTGGGAGTACGTATTCGGCGAGAATGAGGGCTTTGACCAGCGAAGGATGTTCGATAGCGAGGGATGTCGCCAGCCCTACACCCTTGTCGTGCCCAAAGACGTATGTGGATGAGATGTTGAGGTAATCCAGGATAGCCTTCAAATCTGCGCCCGCGGCTGCAGCGGTGTAGTTCTTGGAAGTGGGGATGGACGAGTCTCCGCATCCGCGGATATCTGGGGCGATTACCGTGTCTGCTTTCATATTAGCAGTTCACTCTCTCATCACCGATGATGTGCGAAGACATGCAGTTTTGAGCCAGGATTGGACCGATGGTGTGCCATGTTAGTGAGTGTTGAGGAAACCCATGCACGAGGAGGACGGGCGGTCCTTCACCATGGTAGCGGAAGTGGATCGAGACATCGTCGAGTTGAATGCGCTCGTGTTCCCAGTCATCGAAGTTTGATAATTGCGCGAATGTAAGCTGTGGTATAGCGAACGCAAAAGCGCTAACGATGCTGGCGAGCTTCATACTGGACGATGGGCAGATTGACTGTAGGTCAGCAGAACACAGTTAGTATGTGCAGCTTTATCTATCTTCACATTCCCGCATTTATCGATATCTTGAAGGCCATGCATTAGGTCTCCTACGCCTTCTTGGCTCGAAGCGCTGTTTGCTTTACTACTCTTTCCTATTGCGCTTTTTCGATCGTCTTGGCAGAGTACGAGACGCTGACTGAGCTTACACGATGCATCGGACTTAAGCATCTAGCTTAGTAAACTCGATGCATCGCCAAGTCGGGGCGGGCAAATAGTTGGAAGATGTGCACAGTCGGAGTAACAGTTGTTCAGAGCGAATGTGCATGAGACCACACGCCTACGCGGTGCGCGAGGGATGCTCTCTGCCAAGGCCACCAATGTCTTGTCCTATCAAGGAAACTACAGCCTTATACTGATTCATGTGCATCTTATGAGGAGGTACATGGCTCTTCATTTGGTCGCGGAGAGCATGCAGTCAGGAGTGGTCCAACGAGTCAAGCTCATACGACGCCGTGGTTGAAGGCATGTAGACACAATGTAGACTTACGTATCGCACACTCTGTCGCATGGCACCTTCCTGCATACCATGTTTAGAATCATCGAAACCACTGCATTCGTACTCCTACTAAACGCCGCATCCATGCTTATATATCTACCCAACGCCACTTGTATGCAAACCCCACCCAATGAACCATTTCCCCAGAAAGATCACGACCTAGCCTTCGTATCCGCATCCGCAACCCTCCCAACCAACCCCCTAATCTTCGGCCAAAGCTCCGGAATACGAAAAGGTTTCGAAATCGCATCGTCCATTCCTGACGCGAGCGACTGTTCAATCTGCTCCATGCGCGCATTCGCACTCACAGCCAGAATAGGCAGTCGGAGCGATTGCTTATCCGGCCGCTCATGCGACGCCGAAGACGTAGACGACGTCTTCTTATGACAAGCCCGACCCGACGATGGTACCCCCGGTGTTGGTGGCGCCGCAAGCAAACCCTGGTGTTCGTAGTCGCGGATAAGGCGTGCGCAAGTCAGGCCGTCCATGATGGGCATTTCTATATCCATGAGGATGATGTCGAGGTCGTGTTTCTCGTCCAGCTTGGAACTGTCTTCCTCGTTGCGCCAGTATACGCTGTCTTTGAGCCATTCCAACGCTTCTTGACCGTTGCCTGCTACGCTGATGTTCCAGCCGAACTTCTGCAGCTGCTTTCTAAGCACTTTCTGGTTTACGAGGTTGTCTTCTACGATGAGCACGTTTAGTCTGATGGATTGCATGGCTTCTTCGCCTGTCATGGTACGACGAGGGACGGGGCGAGCTTGCACAGCGCGAGCGGAGACTTGGTCGGCTGGTGGGTGCGCGAGGCGGGTGCTGATGAAGAAGGCGAATGTTGAGCCTTGCTCTTTCTCGGAGTGTACGCCGATGGCACCTCCTTGTAGCTTCGTAAGCGACTTGGAGATGAAGAGACCGAGCCCTGAACCGCCGTATTTAACGTGCGTGCGTGGTGTGGCTTGCGAGAATCGGGAGAAGAGTTTCTTTTGCTCGTCTGTGGTCATACCACAGCCGGTGTCTTTGACCTTCAGCCAGAGGAATGCTATTTTGCCTTCGCCCCATTCGGCTTTGTCGGTGATGTCTGTCTTGGGCTTCTCATCGTCGGTGAAGGTTATCTCGTTCCAGCACTTAGGTGGACGGGTCCAGGAGCCACCGATAGTGACGGTGATGGCTTTTTGAGGGCGGTCTTTGGTGAATTTAATGGCGTTGGTTCTGGTATTGTTAGCGGAGGGTATGCGACATGGAGATGAGAATCTTACAGTAGATTGATGAGGACTTGCAAGAGGCGCGAGGGGTCAAGCATCGTCCAATCCATGCCATTGAAAGTCTCATCAATGAGGAAAGCGAGCTTAATGCCCGCCTGGTTGCACTCGACATCGAACATGCGCACCGCATCCGATACCACCACCGCGGGCTGCACGCGCATTGGCGTGATCAAGATCAAGTTAGAATCAAGTTTCGACAGGGTGAGCACGTCGTCAATAACGCGTTTTTGGTGCATCGAACATGACACGATGATCAACAGCGATTCAATGCAGCTCTGAACTTCTGCTTCTGCCTTGGATGTTTCGGACGAATCTTTCGATGCTATGATTTGGCGTCTGGATAGTTGTTGGAGCGAAGCGATAACGGAGTCGGCGCATTGTATGACTGCCGACAGTGGATCTAGATGTTGGCAAACGACGTTAGCGGTGGCTCGTATATCTTGTGCAGATGCGTTACTCACTCCTGAGTTCGTGCGAAGTCATATCAATGAAGCTGGACTTGTCAACAAGAGTCGATTGCAGAGCGCGCAGTGAAATACTTTTCTTGTTGTCGTTTTGCTTCCAGCGCTTCGTGAATGCGGCGCCGCTGAACGCTTTCAGCCCACTTGAACTGTGATATGTCGAATAACGTCCCCATAATGCCTACAGAGATTAGCATATGCATGATGAAGAATACAGAAAGGCATCATCTTACTTATCACTTTGCCGTTCTCGTCCAGCTCTGGGCAACTTGAACTTTGCACCCATATATTCGAGCGAATACCATCTTGATTGACCCAAGTCTTGTTCAAACGAAATTGTATACCTTTGGCTTTACCGCTCGTGAGCATGTTCTCCCAACCTTTCTTGACTTTTTCGACATCCTCCTTAGCGATGAGGTTAAACCAGTCGTATTGGCTGACTGAACCATGTGGATGGCCAGTAAGCTCGAAGAAATGGTCATTGACGAAGTTCATGCCTATATCAAGATTAGCAAATACTCTGCGATGAGCCGATCCCACATACCACCCTCAGGTATGTACACGTATATAGCGGTAGGGGATACTTGGGCAAAGCGCGCAAATTTCATTTCCGCCAGCCGCGCTTGTTCGAGTGCTTCGCTAGAAATGGAATCAGTATGTTTACATCAGGCATGCTGCAAATCAACCTTACACTTGTGCTTGTGCTGTCTCTTGCGACTTCTTTTGTGCGTTGATGTCCACGGTATTGCCGGCAACACCGATCAATTTCTTGTCATCATCGAAGACCGGAACACAAGCTGAAAGTACCCATTGCGCGGCGCGTTCCGTTCCTGTGGGTGCCTTCCATCGCATCTCGAACGTAACGGATTTTCCCTGCGAAAGCTTATTCCACATGGACATCACCAGTGCTTGGTCATCGGGGTAGACAAGATCCATGAATGAGAACTCGTCAGGATTGACGTTTTTGGGGTGGGAGCTGGGACTTGTCAACGCCGTGAAACATCGTGTCGTGGTTGTAGTTACCTCAATTTATACCATGCCTCATTAGCATGCAAAAGCTTTCCCTCTGCGTTGTACTCAAACACTCCAACATCGCTCATCTCCATCATAGTCTGGATACTTTCCCACCTGGCATGAAGGTTCGTATACGGAATGTTCTTGAGCGATATTGATCTATCGCGCTTGAGGTCATTGATGAGCTGTGCTTTTGATCGTGTAAAGACTGGCGCTCGACTCATAGTGAGATGATCGTCATCGTCTGCTTCTTCCTCCAAGGAAGGCGCTTCTTGCTGCTGCGCGTCGGATCCTGTCGCTCTCACTAGCTTGAAGCCACCATTTCTCCCTGCCAGTTCTGCGGTCCAAACATGACCACCGAATTCATATCGAGGTTTGTATTCACCCAGTGCTTGCGCCCATGAGCGGAACAGGAGTGATGCTCTTTCCTCGGCTAGGATGGAGTTGCAGAGAGGGAGTCTGCGAAACGCTTCATTACAGAAGACAAACTCGAATTCAAGAGCTATCTCATCCGCTCTGATGACGAACAGTGGTGCGGCATCAAATTCCAGATCCTCTAGGTCCAGCAGGCGCCTGTGGGAGGGCTCGGCCGACGGCATCTCGGATGGGTCGTAGTAACCCTCGACGGGACATAGACGAAGGATAGGCGATTGAAGTTTGGCGTAAAAGATGATGATCGGTAAATGCTTGGTCTCAGCGCATAATACAAGATGCGGACGTAGCAATGCGACGGAAAGGGCGGTGTCCAGCAAGTGTGTCGCGATGAAGCTGCACGGGCAAGGCAGACTCGCTACTGGGGAAGTCAAAACCACGCTATATTCTCAAGTGGCTTTGCAATTAATATCCAGACTATGGATGTGGCGTGTATAACTCGGATGAGAATTGAGTGAGTTGGTGCGTTGTTTGTGGTAGCGTACCGGCTTACCCTAGGTGTGTGAGCCCGGAAAGAGCACCGGTGAAGTACCCAATGTGCGGCATTGCAGCTGCTGTATGTCCCTGAAAGTGGGGTCAAAATCGGACCGTTCTAGTTCTCGATGCCCGCAGTTTCTCACTAAACGTAGATGCACCGGATATCGGATCAGCGTACAGGAGAAGGAAACGTTCTCAGTGATTGGTCAGTGTGGCGAGTGTAAAGCTTTGATCTGGCCGCTAGATCAATCTCGAACGCGGGAGGAATTGAAATAGCGAAAGCGAATCCTTCAGGGTCTGACAGATCTTCGATTTCGGCGCAATGCTCCGCTGCCAACTGCTTCTTTTGGAGACAATGATATTTACAGTACTCACATCCCACACGAGTGCCAACCCAGGTGGCCTCGCAGCATTTCGGCGTGTCACACCGGGATGACCGTCCCAAAGTCGGAAACCACGTCGATAATCCCAGATATACGTGCATAATAGTCAAAGAGTACCTTGGCGGATGTCCCGAAAGGGCCC